TTTTTTTTTTAATGAAATGAAACCTAAACATTGAAAATGGGAATTTTTTCTAATCAATTGTTACATAAAGAAATAAATTTATAAAACCCCTATTACCAAAAAAAATAATAATAAATTATGTTACAGCTCTCCAGAGCTGCACGATTCACAAGACTGCATGCTGACGGCCACAAGTCGAAGGCTACACTGTTGTCCAGTACACTTCTTAGATAGCCAGCACATACACTATAAACCAGGGGTCCTCAAATTTTTTAAACAGGGGGCCAGTTCACTGTCCCTCAAACTCGATGGAGGGCCGGACTATAGTTTTAAAAAAACACTATGAACAAATTCCTATGCATGCTGCACATATCTTAATTTGAAGTAAAAAAACAAAAGGGGCAAAAACACACAGCAGGCCGGGTAAATGTCCTCGGCGGGAACAAGATAGCTAGTATCCACTGAGGGTTACACCCTCCTGGAGAGAATTACAAAGGGCACGAGCGCTACATAGGAAATGGATTTCCTTGTATACCTTTATAAATGTGTGGTGTCAATTTTATTACACTGCTATGGAAATAATCCAACTTGTCCACAATAAAAAACAAGCATCTAAAGTCAGTGTCTAAAACAACCAAAGAGAAAAAAGCCAAGTATTGTTGTATCTGTTCTCAGTTCCACGAGAGTTTACACAAACAACACTGCAATCCTGCACTTTCCCTTTTATGCTGTCTCTGAAATTCTGCTCAGTAAATACTGGCAATGAAACACCTTATTATTTCTTTGTTTTCATTTATAATTTATTCATTAGTGAACTACATAGTTTAGTAATTCTGCTTAACTCAACTCACAAATAAGCTTAACTTTATTATGTCAATAGCAAATGAAACTTTGAATTAGAGTAAGTGATCATTTGGGAGCACCAAATAGTCATGGGAAAGAACAACAAAGAATTAAATAGAGACTTGAGACAGGAAGAAAGTATGGCATCCTTGTGGACTAAGAAGAACATGAGAACACAAGAAGCAGAGTCAGGAAAAATGACAGGAAAAACCTTAAAAAGAAGTGGCAATTTCAAGTATTTACTAAAAGCTGCCTAGGTACCTAAGAAAACATTTTATTTCTTCATATACGTACCATGGTCTCAGTTCCCAGGACCCACACTCAAGCCAATACCAGCAGAACAATCATTTATGCTCTGGCATAAGAACTTAAGCCCTCTACAACACTTTAGACACTGTACACAATTTACAAACAACATGTAGAATATAAACCACATATAAAAGGAAAGTACTCGCTGTTCAGTCCTAATTTGATACAAAAGTAGTTGTTAGCCTCAAAACAGAATTCCTGCATACCGAATCTGACCACTATATATACATATAATTTTTTTTAATCAATTTATTGGGGCTCATACAATTCATCACAATACATAGATCAATTGTGTAGAGCACATCTATACATTTGTTGCCCTCATCATTCCCAAAATTCGCTTGCCTGACCACTATATATTTTTTAAGGGGCAGGAATTTACACTTTTTTTTAAATTTAAAAATTGATTACTTTTAACATTTCACTTACAATGTTGCTGTATTTTATGAATAATTTATAGTTATTCTATAAAATAGATTATAATTTTAAACCAAAAATATAAATGAAATCATTGTCTAATGCTGTAGATCTTGATTTTTATTTAAATAATATATATAATAGGTGTTTTAAATATTTTAGAAGAAAAAAAAAATCAACCAATACTTACAGAAGTACTAAAACTTATTTAGGAAAAAATTAATTTATTTGAAACTCTTACCTGTGAATGGGTCTGAAAAATTGGTGTTCCCAAGCCCCAATGTTTGACCTTTTGTGTTATCAATAATAAACTTAGCCACTTGATCCAAAAACATGGGATTCAAATCATGCTTCTGCAAAAAGTTGTATGCAGTTAACCAGGGATCATCACTGGTATTATATGGCAATTTATATGATGGTCCACCTTCATTGACATCAATTGAGAAAACATAATCAAATTCCTTAATCGGAACATAAAAGGAAATAAAATTATTATTAATTTACTTGTTCTTATATATTTCAGTGGCATACGTAACAGATCACACATTATGCGTTATTTTAATGATTACAACTTAAACTTTTTCTAAAATACAATGCTAAAGTCTTCTTTGGCATAAAAAGATTAATTTAATACAAAATAATTTAAAAAATTACAAAACAAATATTTCCCTGGAAGAATGTGTATGGGTCATGGCTACATATTAGACTTAGGCCCAAACAGTATGTCTAATCGGCTGATCTCAAGCACACAGGCATCGCCGCACTGTCTGTGGTGCCCCTCATGTCTTACTAAGTGACAGTAAGGAGGCAAGAAGGAACGGTAGCACAGAAGCCCCTTATCCAAAATGATTCGTTTATGCTAACTAGTAAAAGATAGATAACAGCTCGCTTGTCCAGTAAGCACAACTCTTTCTACATGAGAATAAAAAAATTTTTTAAACTCCAGAAGGAAGAAGAGAGAATTCCTTCAAAGCAATGTATTTTTAATATCCAAACACCAAAGAATCCTTTATCAGCATGGGGAAAGAGAGAAATAAAATCTTTAAATGTCTAATGCTTTAAGATATTGGTGATTACCAAGAGAAATGGACATACTTTCCCTTCATATAAAACTTTTCCAGATGTTTGCTGAGTAGCACCTGATGAGCCAACAACATCACCGATTTTCATCCATCGTTGTTCACTTACACTCCACTGATAAGCTTCAACTCTCTCTCCATCTCTGATCAGACGAGTCTGCCCGTCTCTAGTGCCTTAAAACAACAATTTTGAGAATCATTGGAATGCCATAGTAAAACTGAGAAAATAAAAACAGGTAAAAAGATTTTATGTTTAAAATGTATAGATAAGTGTGTGTATACACACACACACACACACACACACACACACACAAACACCTTGATTTAAAAGAGAATTTTAGTAGACAAAAGATTTAAAAATATAATTCTACTGAAAAGTACATTCCTAAAAGCAAAATCATGCTTAAAAGGAAACTTTATTAAATATATTTTTTAAATGTGATTCTGCTCACAAGTAACTAGTCCATAGGAAACAAAGCATATTTTATTCCTGAACATTTCCTGACAACACACTTCATTTCAGTAATGATTCCATTCCTCTAAAACACAGGTCCTCAAACTTTTTAAAAAGGGGGCCAGTTCACTGTTCCTCAGACCCTTGGAGGGCAGGACTATAGTTTAATAAAAAAAACTATGAACAAATTCCTATGCACACTGCACATATCTTATTTTGAAGTAAATAAACAAAATGAGCAAAAAACACCCGGTAGGCCGGATAAATGTCCTTGGCGGGCCACATGTAGCCCACGGGCCGTAGTTTGAGGACCCATTCTAAAAGTTCAGTCCAAAAGGCTGTAGAATGAGTCTGTTCTCTCAACCCCATGGCCAATTCTTCAGTAAATCCTGCCAATCTGGCCAGCTCTATCTTTAAAATGGCCATAGCCGTTGCTACTCCTTGGTAGAGGCCACCATCACTTCTCAGATTGTTTCAATAGGACTCCCAGTTCTGCCGTTAGCCACCTTACAGTCTTAGTCAACATAGGAAACACCAGAATTCTTTCAAAGGGTTAAGAAGATCCTGACACATAGCTCTTCAAAACCCTTCACTTAGTAAAACCCAAACCCGCATGATGGTGCACAAAGCCAAGTAGAACATACAAACCATCCCTCTGACCTCATCTTCTACTATCCTGTCCTACCGTCTTCTTTGCACTTGCTGTTTATTCTGCCTGTGGTACTTTTCACCAGCAGCATTTGCTTCCTCACCTCTAAAGGATTTTACTGTTACTGTCTCAGCAAAGTCTTCAGTGGCAGGACCAGTTAGCTGCCCTCCAGAGATTCACATTTCCCTTCCACAGGATGGATTGTGGCTGTCCAGCGCCCCCACACCCCACCTCCCTTCATCGTGCAGTTCCATGATGTTACAAAACCCAGTACTGTAATGGTTAGTGGAATCTGGATGGCGTTATATACAGCAGTTCAAGGTCTAGCCCATCATCCCGCTTCCTGTCTGATAGAATGTCATGCTCAAGATGACTTAAGAGCCACATACTGAAGAAGGTGGGGATCCCATCAGCCTGAGTATGAGAACTATTCCAAAAGATAAATATACTCTATCAGGCCCTGCCACCAACTGAACTTTATGCAACAAATGTTTTCCCTATGTTGTCATTCAGATTTTAAGGCTGATTTATCACAATAGCAGTACAATTTTCCTAATCACTACCAAACAACTTATTAACTGATTTACATTTTAATTACTGCTCTTCCCCAGTAATATATAAATTTATGAGATCAGTGACTACTGTCCCTTTTGTTATCTGTTATTTCCCAGAGCCTAAAACAATGTCTAGCATACAGTAGGCATGTTATTTACTGAATGTCTACATATTGACAAAATGCTACATTTTTTAAAAAATTAAGATTCAAATTGTGATCTAATGTCAAATTTTGTTTCAAGATTCCTTTAGCATCGTAAGATCTAGTTAGAATCATCAAAAGCTTATTTATGTGGGTTATAACAATTGATTTACTGTACTTGAAATCAAGATTGAGAAGAGTAAAAGATACATTTTTTGAAATGTATCTGAAAACAATAAGACCCAGTATATATTAAATAGTTTTTAAATAAAAGTAATCATTTTTTACATGTAGTAGCTGTGAGAAGAATATGGTTCAACATATGTGTCTCTTTAGTGACTGCTTTATTAGAAGACAGCTAGAGTATCTTGCCTCTTTTTCAATTCGATCTATTGCGATTTGTTGTTTTGATTGAAGAAAACCCAGGCGCACAGATATGTAAATGAGAAAGAAAGCTAATTTAACAGCTTGTACAGATGACAGTATTCTGCAAGTGGTAGTTTCTTAAAAGTTACAACGTGGAATCTAAAACCAAATCAGTGAATTTCTCGTATCTCTCACAGCAAAACTGATCTCGTACCTTTTGATCTACATGATCACTGATTTTATTACAAATGTCCCTGAAGTATTATGACTTTATCAAACTCCTAGTGGTAGTTACACATTTTTCTTGAAAGCTTGGATTCTACCTTGGATAACAAATACTTTCAGTTGCTTCACTTAAAGTGACAGGCTTCTTTAGTTATCAAAATATGTCTAAGTGCACAGCCCTATATAAGCACTTAACCCTTCTTCAGAGTGAAAAAGGCATCTCAGGAAAAAGTGGGCTAGAGCTCAACCCACAACTCATACAACTACACAAGTGCTTTTCCTTGACACACATGACACACTGGTGCATTTTGGGTTTCTCCATTTTGTTGCACAGACTACTGGAAAAGGTTTAACTACAAAGCATGCAAGTGAAGAACACGGCGTCTACTAGAAACACGTGGGCTATCGCTTTGATTGGAATGCTAGGCAGCCAGCAATGTCTTGCCCGCCACTGCATTGCTTTTGCACAGAAAGGGTGCATGTCACCAGGGAAAACACAAAAGGCATCTGAACATTATTATACACTCCGTTTTGACCTCATGGGCACCCTGAAAGACTCTGGTCTTAGGGATCAAAATTGCACCCGATCATTTTACACAACTCAAATTATCCCTAACTCATTACGCAGACATTACTTTATTTAAACTCATTTTTATTTTCAGACTGCACAACTCTCAGGAATCCAAGCCACCAAAACATGTTCAATGAGTGCTTTCTGACTATCTACGAGGTACACTAAAGTGTTGAGAGATTTTCTTTGAAGGTTACGGGTTCGGGGAAGCTTAGGCGCACCTCTAAAATATGAGCTAGAGACGAGAGCAGTGTCCAAGAGTGATTCTGTGTCACACCAAGATTTCTCAAAACTCAGTACTTGGAAATGAGGATGCTGTTATCGAATAACTAACAAAACAATCCTTTATACATATATATAAAAATAAATGTTTAAATTACTCTTAACTCTCCAACAGACTGATAAAATGGTTTTTATTTACAAGGTGGACCGAAATATTTACCAGGCTCGTTCAAATGTTCTCTCCCAGGAAGTTGCTCAGCATTAATGTCCCCCAGATCACCAGTTTTGGATTCAATGGTTGCCTGTGCAAGTTCTTTTTCAAAAGCCTTAATTTCATCAACACTTGCTGTCCGGTCCTCTGATTCTGTAAAAACTCTAATAATACCATCACTATAAAGAAAGACACAAGATTTAAAAGGCATTGCTGTAATCCATTAGCACGATCACACCTGAATGTTCTAAGGAAACAATCATCTATCTGCATTTGAAAATATGAGAGATGTTATTACGTACTAACTGCTGAGTATGAGCACTATGCTGACCAGCACTCCACACCCTCTTTTATCATTGAAAGTAATGTAGAGGGTGAAAAGACTGATTAAAGCAGAAGTACTCGACTTTTTTTATCATCTAACACAATCCTTGGTCTAGATGCTGTTAGTAACCTAGTTTTTTAACCATTCTCTAATATCCTCTCACACACAAAATCACTCACACCACCTTTCAAGTCAAACACAAAAACTGTTCTAACTCTCCACTTCTAGACCACCATCATGCACATTTTGACATAGATAACAATCTCCCTATAAACTACTGCTTGATTTTCACCATTCTGATTCCCTTATATGACCTATTTATGGCTTCTCTATACACTATGCAGTTTGTAACTACTCAATCTTTAGTTGTTACAGTCTGTTGTCTCAGAGAAAAAGGGGTTTTGTCACTCAGGTTTTGTAGTTTTGCACAAATCTTCATCTTCTGTCTCAGCTTTTACACTAGGCTCCAGTGTAACTGCCTGTGACCACTGCCATGAGTGTGACTTACCATCATGGAGATCCCAGGAACCTAAAAGCAAAATCACCTGCTGCTCCAAACCAAGACTCTACCTCCCTATCTCACCCTCTTAATAGACACACTACCTCTTATCAAATGTTTAAAGCTTTTCCCTTCTCTTGTATGCCCTTTCTAATCATATTCCCTCTCAATTAGTATCTCATCTGATTCTTTCTTAGCTGTCAGCATGGCTGGACTACTATTTCCTAACTTTATAAGCCTACTCTAGCGGGCGATTTCTAGTTTGTTTACATGTCCACTGTCATCACTGGCTAAACCCAACCTACATATTTAATTTGATAATTCATAGGTTCTGCTTATACCATTCTTTGCCCAAGAATTACAATAAGGCTTTAACCTGAACTCCAAAACCCAATATTCCTAGCACTCAAAGCACTCAGCATGAAGCTCATTCCATCTGAACAGCCTGACTATTCACTACTGCCCAATCTGAGTCCTCGCCCACTTCCTCTCACCTCCTGCACCTACACCATTCATTCCCGGGCTTTTCCTGCTTAGGCGACACGCACAGCAATTCCCATTTCCCTTCTTCCTCATAACTTCCAAAATCTAGTTCAAATATCCTCTTCTCCAGAACGCTTTCCTCAATCAATATCTACCTTCTTTAATTTTCTTTAAATTCAACAATTCTATTGCAAAAACTACAGTAACATATTAGTGCAGTGTACATCTTTAGTAAAAAACTGGTATGCCCATTACTGTTTGTTCACTGACAAACACAGCCTTCCCAACTCATCCAAAATTCCTCAGAGTGTATCCCTATACATTCCAAATCCGCTGCCGACTCACGGCAACCTTACTGGACGGAGTAGAACTTCATCACAGGTTTCCAAAGCTGTGATCCATACAAAAGCAGACTGCCACATCTTTCTCATGCACAGCAGCTCGTAGGTTTGAACTGCTGATCTCTTTCAGTGACACTGCTGTGCCACCAGGGGTCCTTTCTAGTGCCTACCAAATAACCTAGACATGTAATTAATGATTCACTGGGATATGAATACCTCGCACCAACCACGATGTCCCCATTGTCCAGCACACAGCAGCACCATACAGACTGCGCGGGAAGTCGAATTGTCTGAGCGCACTCCCCATGTTTCCAGACTCTCAGAGACCTGTCTTCTGCTGTTGTCACAAAACCTACAAGGTGTGAAAACAGAAAATAACTGGTTTGAATTTGGTACACTTATACTTAACCTCCAAGTATTTTAAAAGAACAGTTTAAAATTTTACATATTGGTGATCAATATCAGGCAGAATTTCAAATATCACAACTTATATACATTTCGCAGCTTAACTACAGCATTCCTTGCACTGATAAATTAAAAAAAAATTTCCTCAGATATCTAAAATCTTTTCATACACAATTATCTAATCTGAATTAATACCAGACTTACAAAATAATTTCTTCCTGTAGGAAAAAGACACTTTTGAAATTAAATTACTAAATTTACTTAAGCCGTAAGTCTTCCTCCTCCCAAAATTGCTCAATACAAACATTGAAATACAAAGCATGGGATCTTACCTTTACAATTTGGAAAGACAGATATGCTATAAATATAATTGGTATGGCCATAATATACTTCAAGACACTCGCCAGTGATTTGCCACCTTCTAATACTAGCATCATTTGCACAGGAGAGAAATTCTGTTTCGCTCAAAATTGCTAAACCTCTTACACAGTCTTCGTGTCCTGGGTCAAAAAAGAATGTTATTCATTAAAATGGATTATTTGGATGGCTGCTCTATCTATCCCAAGAATATTATCAAATATATCACTGAGTAGTTAAAACTGACTTTCAAGTTAGAGAAATTCATTATTTTTCTTGGAAAGATCCAGAAACCAAAATTAGGGTTGATAACTTTTGAAAAATTAATCCTGGCAAGTTATTTTATATTTACCATATCTTCTCCACACTATTTCTTACAACTTTCCTGTAGTGCAGCCAATTATTTAATATAGCTCTTCTAACCAAGTCTTTGAAAGTCTCACGAAATGATTTTTCCCTGGCTGGTGAGAAGGGAGGTAGAAACTGATAGGGTTGTGATTCAGCTGTGAGTGATTATTAATAAGGGGAAGTTTCATTACCACTAAAAGGAGAAGAGTCAGGAGTGGAGCACATCCTTTGGGCCTTGAAACTGAGAAACCTGAACATTGAATCTTCTAAATGCAGAAGACAGCAATGAGATCAGAGAAGCAAATGAGAGGTAGCAGAGGAGCGGGAATGGTAGGTAGAACCAAGAGCCACAGCATAAGGATGAACAGTGAACTTTCTAGCCCACAGAGCAATTAAAGCTGAGCATCTTGGGCAGGAGGCTGGTTTGTGCAGTGGGTACTTAATTAGTTGAGCCTGGTTTGTTAATTCAAGGAGCTGGGGCTGAGGCTTGTGACAAAGTATTGTGCCCTTAGAGCATTTATTTGCAGCCCCCAAAAAGAGTTTTGTAACATTACCTGAGCCGGGGAGGGGTCAAGGGGTCATGTAGACCAAGAGACCAAAGATCAGAGAGATGTCTCCCAAAAAACGTGTCTGAGAAGAGGCTGCTCTGTCTGAATAATTGTATCCTGAGCATTTATAATCTGTTAGCTTCCTTAATAAACCCCATAATTCTAAGTACTACCTGTGAGTTCTGTGAGGCCACTGCAGTGAATGACTTATCCCAGGTGAAGAGTAGAAAGTGCTGTGGGGCAAACAGTTGGTATCAGAGTAGAAAGAGGGGGGACAGTGGAGACAGGTCTGCCCTCAGCCTCATGGCAATCAGCCTTGGGCAGCTGATGCTGATGAGAGTGATTCTCCTCTCCCCCCGCCCCCTCCCGTGTAGAAGGAGCAGGTTAGATGGCACCACCAATTCTTTCTACATCTCCACAAACAGGATTTTCACTGCAACAGTGAATCTTCGTATTTTCTAAACTTTTGTCCCAAATAACAATTTAAAAATATACAATATTCACTACAGTAGAAATATATAAAAATGAATTTCCTACTTTCAAGATAAGCCAAAGTAGTGATGAACTTTCAAGGAAAAAAACAAAAATGTTAGCTAGCTCACAAACAAACCCGTGATCTTAGTATTAGGAAGCAGTAGATACTTCAATGTACAACAGAAACAAGGATTAAAGTTGTTATTGAGCAATGCACACCAGTATAAATACGCACACTAATGATGCTTTCCTGTATAAATGAAGGTGAAAAAGCTATGCTTGGATGTTTCAGGACGAACCTGTTAAAGTGACACCAAAGACCTAACTGTGTAAAAACAAGTTATCATTTAAAATTATGCTAAGGACCCAAAACTATCGAATGGAGTACAGATAGCCTCTTCCACAAACGGTGTTCAATAAATTGGGATCTCCATATGCAGAAGAATGAAACTGGACACATATCTCTCCCCATGTATACAAACAAACTAGAGCAGTGGTTCTCAACCTTCCTAATACTGGGACCCTCATGTTGTGGTGA